AAAAAAAAATCGTTTCTTTCGTCCAAATTCATATCACAAAAATCTTCTTGTTTTTCTTTTGGTAGTTCAATTCATATATTTAGAGGAAATTTATTTCGTTTATTCTTTTGGTTTGCCAAATCCGAACTGCCGTGCTTTCCGCTTAACCCCTTCCATTAAATTTGCACAGTGGTCTCATCGACCTTATTCGCCGCCGAACGCCAGTTAGATTTAAACTGTTGCTCGTTTTCTATGGATTTATCAGCTTTTTTTTAGATTCCGTTTGACCAAGGCCCAATCCCGTTCGATATGGTGGAGTTCTGGACTGTTGGGAGGGTTGCGGTCTTTGGGTACCACAACCACGTTGTTCGCATCGTACCACTCGATTGCCTTTTTCTCATAGTGGCAGCCCGCCAAGTCCGGCCAGAACAGCACCGGTCTATTGTGTTGCTTTAGGAATGGTAGCCGCCGCTTTTCCAGGCACTCTTGGACGTAGATCTCTTGATTGATGGTTCCCGTAGTATTTTTCATTACTTTTTTAGACCACACGTGCATATGGCCTGCTAGACGAGATATTTTCTCGAACTTCGATAGTTTGATGATTTTGAAAATTTCAGCCACCTTCCCTTTTCCTGATGCGGTATAAAACTCCTCGCTGATTTGCCGACGTGTTTTATTTGTAATCTCGGTTCGCCACCTTCACCTTCTTAACGTCGACAACTCGGCTCGTTTCTTGGCCCGCTGCACAGTAGTATGGCTTGATAGAGCATTGAGCTTGCCAGCGACGTCCCGGATGGAGAGGTTAGGATTCCACACCACCTTCTTCGCCATCGTTGCCACGTCCGGATTACGATTGCTACCGCTTCCAGGCTTCCTGCCGGTCGACAGACACTAGCGTACACAGTAGACTGATGCAAAATTTGAAATTTTCGCTCCACAGTGCTTAAACGGTTCCAAATTGGGTCCTGCTTAGCCTCTCAAAATTTGAACTACTTTAGTTAGAAACTGACGTGGCACAAACCTTTTCAAGTTTATATGGTAAACCTGCTTTGAAGCCGTTTGAGCACTGTGGAGCGAAAATTTCAAATTTTGCATCAGTCTAGTGAACAGGAATCTAATTATGGAGGGGCAATTTTTTTTCTATGGTTCATTTAATCTGGGGACGGGAAGTTCTACAAAGTGCGTGGGAGATGGTGCTGTCCTCCCATCACTGTTTCCCTACTGTTTAATTTAGCTAATTTTATTTATTTTTTGCTCTGGTGGTGGTTCATCTTCTTCAATACAAACTGCGGAAGTTGGCAATTTAATCCCAAAGTACCGTCAGTCGGGGTGAAAGAAAATGATGCCGAACATTCAACATGTTTTATAGATGATATAAATGACAAACCCGAATTTATTGCAACGCACATAAACAGCTGTAACTTTTTAGCCACGGTAACAAATGACTTGAAATTTTCAAAGAAGATTCTTAGGCGAATTATTTGTAAGACAACAATAGATCAAGGTTCAATGGCAAACTAATTCCCACTTTTCAATAAGGGAATCCAAAAGCTGTCTTTAAACTTTGTAAAATTGCGAAAAAGTCCTTGAGGTTCTTTTCGAAATTTTTAGCACTCTATGAGCTCTTTTGAAATTCTTTTCAGAAGTCCTCTGGAATTATTTTTGTAACTCTTTTTGACTTTTACACCTTCAAACTAAAATTCCCTTAGAGTTTCAGAAGAATTTCCTCAAAAAAAATGTTCCTGGAATGAGCTAGAAATAATTGGTACTCGATTTTTTGAAATTTTCCTCAAAATCTCTTTTTACCCAAAATTTAATTTTCTGTGTAGTCTTTTCGGAATTATCTAGGAACTATCTGCAGGGTTCACTAGAAATTACCCGCAGAATTTTCTTGGAATACTCCCCAGAAATCCTTTGCAACTGTCTTCAGAATTCAATATCCTTGAGGTTCTTCTCGGATTTTTTTAGAACTCTCCTAAGAGCTCTTTTGAAATTCTTTTCAGATGTCCACTGGAATTATATTTTGAACTCTTCATGATTTTTTCTCACAACACATTGCAATTGAATGAGCTAGAAATTATCCTCGGAGTTCGCTTGAAATTTTGCTTAAAATCACTCTATTAACTCTATCTACGATGCAGGAAAAATTGTGTTTTGCTGTGGTTAGCTGTGCGCACGCTGAGTAGATATGAAGAAGATTGATGACGATTTTGAAGATTTCCTGCAAAAAAATGATGCGCGATGCAGGTAGATGCGAGAAATCAAAAAAATATTTTTCGAAGTTTGATTCGCTAGTGTGAGATTTGTTGAGCTGGAATTGAGATTTAGATGTGTCGCCCCCCTCGAAAATCCCTTAGAAATCACACTCAAAATTGGAGTTTCTCGGTATTCTTTTCGAAATTGTCTTGGAACTATCTGCAAAATACACTAAAAATTATCAGCAGAATTTTCTTTGAAATCTCTCCAGGAATATTTTGGAACTGTCATGAGAATTGAATATATTTGAGATTCTTCTCGGAATATTTTTTTAATGTTCAATGAAAATTGCTTTTCCAAGCTTCTGATTGGTGCAGATTTCCTTTTTCCATTTTCCACCAGACATTTTCAATATAGCTTGCTTGCATTTCAGGTTTTCCATCAAATAAAGCTTTTAGATTTTTTTATCATAAATTTTCAGTAAAGGAGCTTCCCTCCAATCATCAGAATGGTGCAAATTTTACACCTGAAATTATTATTAAAGATTGTTTCTCCATTCAGCACATGGATGCAAATTTAAGACCGAAATTTTTCCAAAAAGCTTTCCCATCCGCTCACCAGAATTTTTGCAGATTTTCCACCAGAATTATTCAATACAGCTTAATTTTAAATAAAGCTTGTGCCTTCATTAACCAAACCAGTGCAAGTTTTTCACCAGAAATTTTCAATTCACCAGAACGGTGCACCAAAAATTGTCAGTGAAGTTTGTTTCACAGTGCACCTTTGTGGTGCAATTTTCAGGCTTTGCCTTTTCATGCACCAAAATACTGCAAATTTTCATTGCATTCATCAGAACGATGCAAATTATGGACCAGAAAAATGAATTAACCTTGCTTTTACATTCTCCGCAGTGTAGCAAACTTTCCACCAGACATTTTCAGTTAAATGTGCACCTCCAAATTTTTAGCGTGATTCAATTTTTCCAATTTTTATTTTTATTAGAAAAAAATTACACCAGATTTTTTTTTGTATGCACCTCTGTGGTGCAAAAATGCCCTGTATTGCAACCAAATAATGTCATTGAAGTTTGTCCCTTCATGCACCTTTGTGGTGCAATTTTCAGGGACCATCTTAAAGGTATTGGCGCAATAAAAGGTTTTCAGTGTTTTATGAAATGAAGTTATTTTACCTTCTAATCAAGGTATCAAGAAATCTAGTTATTTTATATCATAATTTTGTAAATGTGGAAATAAAAATCTTATTTATAAAAGGAGAGGAAATTGCCCCCACCTTGCCCCACCCTGTGCACGCCAGGGGACAGACGCTCCCCAAACATTTTTAAAACGTTTGCCACGGTCGGTTTGGCCACATCCAGCAATTTTGCCAATATGGCGAGTGAGAACGTCGGATTCTATTGCTGCGCGAGCAACATTTTGACACGCTGCTCCTCTTGCTTGGACGTCATTTTGAAAACTGGAGAGCAAACGGTGAAAACTCATCATAGCAACCATTGTACATACACTCAACTTCCAAATGCAGCATTTCAGGTTTTTCATGCATTTTTAATAGAAATACACCGATTTGAAGATGACCAAATTTTGCGCGTTCCAGACTTTATGATGAAATAGTTTGCCTTGAATTATAAATCGTGACGCCAATTCTACGCGTAAGTGTTTTTTTTTCTGTGGTTTGTTTTCCATCGATCTTGTTTTCCGTGATGAGATCAATGCCACCAACCCTCATCAACTCATGAACCGGTAACCAACGAAGGAAGGCGTGATCAAAGATGTTATGCCTCAGAACATCCCGGCGGCGCCGACAGGGATTGAACCCAGGCCTGCTGGGATGAGAGATATTCACGCTTACCACAACACCATTGGCACCGCTACGTGTAAATGTAAATATAACTGATTTTCATTTTTTGTTAATATTTAATTTTCTTTTTCACATGAGGAAACAATTTGATACCATTTTAACACTCACGAAGAGCTTTTTTTTAAATAAATCACAAACAAATTTACAGGCAAAATTAACCACATTTTACCTGCAACATTTTTTTTTGCAATACGAATTGCATCGTCGGTCTGGCAAAGCATGGTAAAGTAACAACCAATCACAAGGCTTCATTCAATTTGTACAATCTTCAGTCTCAGTAAGGTTCATATCAATTAGCTACTGCATCAGACAATGATGAATCAGAATGTGTACATCAGATTACAATGCATCGACCACTTTAAAAGAATGGACCTTTCATACCGTGCTGAAGGTTTTACTATCAAGCGCTCATGTCGGAACATGTATTTGTTTTTTGCTGGTAAATAATGTCAAATGGTCAACAAGGACGGCCAGTCGTTGACTCGGTTCGTATCGCTGTAGGTACTAATAAAGAGATTAAGAATCTGACGTACATTGCTGATAGAACAAAAAACCAACAGCTAAAGTAGGGAAGTTTTTCATCAACTGTAATTAATCTGACAGCATAGTCATGTCTTACTATCAGCATAGAGATTGTAATGGATAGTTTGAATACAAGTAAACTCTATTTATAAGTTATTGGAGCAATTTTGTTTTAATACCACTTGGTCACTAATTCTATCGGATTGAGTCAAATGTTCAGAAATGTAACCAAACTGACTGTTGTACAACTATTTAAACGGGATGGATTGCAAGTTTAACACACTGCTTGGTTCAGCTAAGAACAAACCAAATCTTACAAAAAATTAACGACCGTTCTTTAACGACTTGCCAAGTACACAATCCTCGTTCTGGATAACACTTAGATTTAGTATGCTTCCGACAGCTCAGTGATCATCACTCCCTGTAAAATGTTCCTTCTTGCCGTGTTACTTTCCTTCACATGCATCTTGTACGCGCTGAGCCTGGTCCGGCTTGTTCGACAAAAGCGTGCCTTTGCTAGGGACATCCCACTGCACACCCCTAAGACAACCTTCTTGGGGATGGACCTAACCTTAGCCGTCCAGAACGAGGTGGAACGATTCGATTTGCTATGGCAAATGTTCTGGAATCAGGACCGGGTGTTCAAGATGCTGATCGGTCCGCTCATGTGCATCGGCGTTAGCCATCCGGACTTGATGCAGAAAGTGCTGTCGCACTCGGATTGTCTGGAGAAGCCATTTTTCTACGATTTTGTGCAACTGGAGAATGGGATTTTTTCTGCCAAGTGTAAGAGTGTCAGAAATTTGTTCTAAGCATTTTCGAGTGGATAAGTGACATTTTCTTCCAGACAAATTGTGGAAAAGCCAGAGGAAAGCGTTGAATCCGACGTTCAATTTAAGAATCCTGAACAGCTTTGTTCCCGTCTTTGTGGACTGCAGCCGCCGGATGGTGGCAGAGTTGGCCAAATGCGAGGATGGATCAACGGTTGACATGTTTCAGTTCACGTCCAAGTGCACCCTGGAGATGGTCTGTGCAACCACCTTGGGAAGCAGCGTACTGGAGCGGGACGGGAAGGACGAGTTTCTTCATAACTTGGAGGGGTATGGGTGAGGATGTGACTGTTGACAGAACTTGAATAAGTGAGCTTTATGTCTTTTAGATTGTTTGAACTGTTTGCTAGAAGGATGCTAAGCATTGAACTATTTCCGGACTGTATCTACCGAATGACAAGCTACCACAGGAGACAGAATATGCTACGAAGAAAGATTGACAAATTTGCAGGAAAAGTAAGTAGAAGTGCGGCTCTATTGATATTGTCCAAGCAAGAAAATTGAAACGAAATTATATATGATGCCAGACGGGTGGCACTTCTCAGCTGCGAAGCAATGCGTGCGTGACGTTGTATTATTAATTTTTCAAATCAGTTCACTGCACTTCCCACTTGATTCGTGTTAGAAAACTGCAAGGTCATCATGGTTTTGATGTTTTTTTTTCGATTTGGTGAAGCTTTTAAGCGACCTCCAGAGTAATTAATTTTGGTTTTGAAAAATGGGTTACGAAATGTTTTGAATAGTTTGTCGCCATCATTCGGAGGTGGTGGACCTTCTTCAACTGAAAATAGCGTTTAAATTGATTGATGAGCGTTTAAGTAATAATTGTATACCTTTTTAGTCGTTTTTTTTTCCTTTTAGTTCTACTACATTTGTATCACTTTGAACTATAACATATACGTATTTCGTTTACTACTTGCAAACTGAGTCTAAGTCTTGTGCCTTAAAGAAAAAGAAATGGTGGTGTTGTGAACAAGACACGACCGCAGGGTTGACGTAGACTACGTTAAGCTGTGTAGTGAAATTCTCGTGCATTTTTTATAAATATTGATTTAAAATACAGTAGAAGTAACCTATGATTTCGGTCCTATGTACCTATTTTGGATTTCCTACATAGTAAAACTTGGTTAATTTCAGGACCTCTTAAAAATGGGAATACATATTTTATTTCATTTGGTTCCTAAATTACAATCATATATGAGTAAGGCTTTCTTCAAGTGATTCATTGAAGCGTCCAACAATGACCGTCATGATGGCTGATATTCCCTACCACTTCAAGATTTCTAGGACACAAATCTTGGACGGTTGTGATATCACTCATGAAATTAAAACTCCATGTGTACTGGACTGCAACAAACGTGAAGTTCCAGTTTCTTTGTTATAAGTTTTGTGAGAGCTGATATCTGTGCTCTTGAAATTTTTCTATGGTAATAAGATTGATCCTGATAAATGCACACACAAAAACGAAGTGCACAATTTTGCATCAATGTTATGCAACATTTCATAGTTGATCGAGATGATATTAATTAGCCATGAATCCCTCCAATAAGTTCTCGGTACATATTTTATCTACCGATTGAACAAATAAGAAAAATACTAAGGCTGTGTTCCATTTGGAAAATTTTCACTTGATTTGACACTTCGAAAATAAATTAAGATGTTCGAACATCCCTCTGTTATCCTTTATATCCATCTGTCAAATATAAGTAAAAATTCACCATGTTCCATCCTTAACAACTTGAGCACATAATCGTTTCTTGTTGTGTTTGTCGTATTAGATGCCAGATAAAAACTTCTTTTATCGATATGTGTGCTGAAAATACCTGGGCCGAGTGGATTAAAGGAGAAAGTCGACGAAGAGAATCTTGTCAGTGTTACTTAGGACCTAATGCAATGTTCAACTTGAATTAATCATTTCGTCCGACCACTTTCCACAGAGATGGCGCTGTTCCGCTGGTAGGAAATGATAAAAATCCCCATATAGAAATTGAGAGAAGTGGGAATAATTCGCTTTCGGTACATATTCAGTTCAAATAAAGTGAACGACAATCTAAAGAAATTAGTCAAGGACTTTGTTGTTCACTTTTTTTCCGAAAATTATTGTTAAACAAGCTACAACTAAAAAACTCGAATTTATCCACCTATGGTGTGATCAGACCCTTCTTACTTATTCAAGTTTATTTATTTTATTGTCATTATCAGTGACCAAGCCCCCCACCCCCGTGTCATCCAGTGACGCTACGCCACTGCCTGGGGGTACCTGGAATATATCCGGGTGTAGTCTATTTGGTGAGGCTACCAATCACCTTACCATCGTATTTTAATGTGATTTAATGGGTTTTAATTCAATTCATATTCAAACAACTTCCCCGGGGTACCCGGAACATGTCCAACTGTGTCAAATGTGGTCTGGAACACTTAACACGACTTGCATTGATCTTATTTTTGAATTCTGTAGTAATTTGATGTGTCGCATGATGGTTTTGATACGTTTTCCGTTAAATCCAGCGTGAAGGCCCATATTCACCGGATCTTATTCCGGCCATATCTCCGGAACCGGCTCACCGATTCCAAAACCGTTCAATAGCGTTCAATGGGACCCCAAGACCTATCATTTGGCGCCGAGTTTGTCCAAATCGGTTGAGCGGTTGCTGAGAAACGTGAGTTATTACCAGTCCCCAGAGAGCCAACAAATTCAAATTTGAGAGAGAAAATTTGCTCTCACTACCTCAATCTCTCAACATGCCATGTATTTTGATGACACTCGATTTGTCATTTCCCTTTCACAGATTATAAAATAGAGTACCTGACACTACAAAACATGTCTGGTACCTCTATATACGCATTTACTTTAACATTTGAAGTCCCTCCTTTTTTACATATTCTCCGCAAAAGATACTATCTGCCCCACCCTATTCATAAAAATTGGCGGGAAATTCTGTGAGGGGTGAGCTATTTTGTGTGCAGAATGTGTAAAAAAGGAGGGACTTCGAATATTAATCTAAATGGATATATAGAGGTACCAGACATGTTTTGCACTGCAGTGTCCTCTGTGAACAATTAACGGAAAACAGATTGTGTGCAGTTTCCGATACATGTCACTGCAAATAACAGCAGTAACATCTGATGGAACATGAATGCAGAAGCTTGACAAAATGATTAATTGTTTTGCTTAGCTGTAAACAGAAAATCGATGAAGAGAATCGAACATTACAAGTAGGCCCTTTTGAACGCTCACTGTCGAATTTCAGAACCTAGCACTGAAAAAAACTCGACGGTACCTCTATTTATGCTAAGAGATAAGCATTGCAAGTCCCTCCTACTTGAAGAATTATGCAAAAAACTGGGGTTGTATAAACTGTTCTATAGCATAATTTTTCAAGTAGGAGGGACTTTCATAGCTAATCTAAAAGCATTAATAGAAGTACCGTCTAATGATTTCAGTGGTTGGTACAGAAAACTGTAATCTGTGTAGGAAAATCCTTTTTCCGTGTTCTTAGTAGCTTTTGTCACTTCTGCCAATTATTCTTTAAATCTTGTGTCTAAAGTTCTTTTCGTCTGCCCTATGTATATTTTGTCACACTGGGAACAGGATATGTTGTAAACTTCTGCTTTTCCTAAATCATTAACTGGGTCTTTAGTGTTTCCTAATCTCGTCTTAAGTTGGTTGTTTCTGCTGGTGAAAACAATGTCAATGCCAAATTTTCTCGATTTATTTAGTAATGGTCTGGTTAAGTTATGGTCGTAATATTCAGAGACTCATCGTACGCTATCTGTTATTGGTGTTAATTTAGTCAATGATCTTTTGTATTCGTTGTGTTTGTGAGGGGGGATATCCCTTATCATCCCTCTCCAATGGGGGAGTTTGGTAAAGAGAGATGATAAAACCGATTTGTACCTTCCTAAAGTTGTCCTAGCTTGCTTTTTACTCTCTATATGCAATTTTTTACACTCTAAACGGAACTATCAATTCAAGAGCCACATGTGAAAAGGGCATACAAGCTTTTTGTAAACAAACCTTTGTAGGCCCTCTTCTCGCTAACCGAGGGTCGCTCACGCAAACTAACAACATCATCGGGAAGGGGAAACCTGCTCCTATCCGGTGATGTTGATGGTTTGCGTTGTTGTCATATGGGTGGCGAGAAAAGGGCATAAGAATGTTTGTTTACAAAAAGCTTGTATGCCCTTTTCACATGTTGTTCTTGAATTCTATACTTTCATCTCCTCATCAATCGTATAACAATTACCACTTTAGTCTGTTATTTGAAATTAGCATCTTCAACTATGTTCTCATCAACAAATGAATTTTTCAGTAGAAAAAAATGTCTGGCAACTCTGCTAGAATCCTTAGAAAAATAAAATCAATGACCAATTGATCAATGTTGAAACGGCATTCTCTGCTTGAACGACAAGCAGTACAGTTCGGTCTTTGCTCGCTCTGTTGAGTTGTTCGAAAGTTCCTAGTTTGTTCCAAACATTCGCAGTTTATTCGCGTAGTGTTGGTCGCTTCGTGTCGCAGCGCTCCCGGAGCAGGCTCCGTGAGAAAGCGGAAAAGAAGAACAGTGATGAGGGTAGCTTGAGTGTACCTATTTCAAATAGGTACGCTACTCTTCCCACCGATGTTGGGAATACAAACCCAGTCCCGGTGAAGCGGACGAAAAAGAGGAAGAAGAACCAAGGAGCTCGATGGTACGAGCGGACGCGACGATGTTACCGCGACGAACGCCAGCGACATTGGTGACTTCGGCGACGCCGTCGAAACCGAGAATTCTGCAGGATCGGCACTAAGGTGATGCTCCGGACGAAAGCGGAATACGAAATCGCCGTCCAATGCGGAATACGAGGAGAGACGAAAACGTGAAGACGTACCCGGATTGTCTTTTCCTGGAGCACTTCCAGAAGGGAACGGTGACGCTGAATGCGCTGCAGGCTATTTGCTCAATGTACTCCATCATCGTACGATGGGAGCCGTACCGTGGAGGCCATCGCGATGTGACCCAGTGCCAACGATGTCTGAACTTTGTACACGGTACTCGCAACTGCAACATCAAGCCACGCTGCAGCAACTGCGCTCACGAACACGTCACTTCTGACTGCCCTGCGGATGGAGCAGTGGCGTTAAAATGCGCCACCTGTTCTGACAGACAGTGCTCCAAACGCGAGGACTTCAAACGCATCCGAAAACAGGCGGCAACTTATAACCAACCAGGACGCAAGAAGGAAAAAGTCCCGGCATTTCGGACGGAGGATTTCCAGCCTCTTTGTGCTCCTCAGCAAAGGCAAGCGAATTCGCGGGTGCATTCCGCTCAAGCAACTTCTGGCGATTCTGCTGGCCAAAGCTCTCCATCCCCCACCCCCCTGGATTCTGGAGACAACCAACAGCGCAAAACAACAACTCCGATCTGTTATAAGCGGATGAACTGATGGAAATTTTCGTCAACATGTCCGGTGCTCTT